GAATAATTTTATTAACTGCTTTATCTTTTCCCACCCCAAGGGCTATTTCTGCCTATGACAATAGGATACTACCTTGTGCCTCCTTCGCTTGTGCAACTAATACTTCTCTCACGGATCATTCACATCTTGCGCCTTGGAAAAGGACCAAAGGTGTTCCATAATCTGGTGGTTCCCTTCATGCTGTCTCTCCCAGCACTGTTGAACATGGGTCTTCTCCTCTTCCTGGTCATGTTTGTCTATGCCATCTTTGGAATGTACAGCTTTGCCTATGTTAAAAAGGAAGCTGGAATTAATGATGTGTCCAATTTTGAAACCTTTGGCAGCAGTATGCTCTGTCTTTTTCAAGTTACAATATTCGCTGGTTGGGATGGGATGCTCAATGCAGTTTTCAACAGTGAGTGGTCTGACTGTGACCCTGATAAAATTAACCCTGGGACTCAGGTTAGAGGAGATTGTGGTAGCCCCTCTGTTGGGATATTTTACTTTGTCAGTTACATCCTCATATCATGGCTGATCATTGTCAATATGTATATTGTTGTTGTCATGGAGTTTTTAAATATTGCTTCTAAGAAAAAAGTCAAGACCTTGAGTGAAGATGATTTTAGGAAATTCTTTCAGGTATGGAAACGGTTTGATCCTGATAGGACCCAGTATATAGACTCCAGCAAACTTTCAGACTTTGCAGCTTCTCTTGATCCTCCTCTTTCCATGGCAAAACCAAACAAGGGCCAGCTCATTGCTTTGGATCTTCCCATGGCCGTAGGAGACAGAATTCATTGCCTTGACATTTTACTTGCTTTTACAAAGAGAGTTATGGGTAACGATGTGAGGATGGAGAAAGTCCTTTCAGAGATAGAATCAGGGTTTATGTTAGCCAACCCTTTTAAGATCACATATGAGCCAATTACAACTACTCTGAAACGAAAACAAGAGGCAGTTTCAGCAACCATCATTCAGCGTGCTTATAAAAATTACCGCTTAAGGCGAAATGACCAAAATACATCAGATATTCATGTGATAGATGGTGACAGAGATGTTCAAGCTACTAAAGAAGGTATCTCCTTTGACAAAGCTAAGGAAAAGTCAACTATTCAAAGCGAGATCTAATCCCACTTACCACCTCTTTACCTCCTTCATATAGCTCAAAAATGTTAAAAGTGTAAATCAGAAATAAAAGCAAAGATCAGAGAAAGCAGAGATAATAATTGACTGTTTACAAGCCATGGACGTGAAGCTGTATTCACAAGACTCCATGCCAAATTCACTTTTTTAGCACTATATGTTAAGTCTAACCAATCAGGAAAGACAACTCCTTAAAATTGCTGCAGCGATTTAAAGTGGGTTAAAGTTGCCTTTGGACAATCCAGTGTTTGTTTTTTCTGTATGGTTTATATGGTGTGTGCCTCTTCTAGAGGATAGGGGAAGGTGGCGTTAGAGATTAGCAACAAAGGAGGCTTCCTTGTACATTTTACGTCTAATTTTATGGGCTTCAAGTCTCACCACTATTAGGACTTAGTTACAAATAAACAAATATTTTCTTAATATGGATGGTGAAATGCTACAGGCCATTAAATCACAAACTTGCCTAGACAAATGCCAGTTAGGGGAAGGGAGAGGGCAGTTCCTTAGAAAGTGCCTTTGAGATCAATCATGGAGATTGTTCAGCTGGTTAAAACCACATTGAAAAAGAGGGGTTGAAGCTCTATTTTCATTTTTGTTTGTTCTTGTTTTCTTTTATTTTTGGTTTTGGGAATTAATGTTGTTTCATTGTTCTCAGGCTCCCAGTTTCTCATCTCTTTGGCTAGTTCCACCTAAGCTCTGGCTCTTGAAGAGGATAAATTCATAAAATAAGAAGCATAAAGGAAGCTGACAGTTATGGTCTACCTTTTCTTCTCATTTACACTTTTTTAACAGTATGCATTACTAAAATGATGTACTAGATAATATGTTAATAGACTCAAGCTTTGCCTTATCATAAAAGTGATGTATTTTTTACCATTTATCTCTAGTGTATTTCTGAGTTGGTAAGATCTGGCAATACATGCTGTAATATGAACCAGAGTTGTCGAGAGCTACTGTTATGTCCAGGAATTTAATTTTCACAGTGTCTTTTACTTGGGAAACTGTGGCTACTTTAAAGTACTTTTCACTGACTTTATGCTTCTTTATAATTCAGAGAAAGAAAATGATCACTCAAACTATAAAGTACTTTTCACTGACTTTATGCTTCTTTATAATTCAGAGAAACAAAATGATCCCTCCAACTATAAGGAATATTAATTAGGAGATAAAAGTATAAGTTTGTTGTTGTTTTACATTAGTGTATACAAGTTAGTTTTCACTTACACATCTATTATTCCAAGTTTTTAAAAATTTTTATCTCATCACATACATCATTACTCTGAAAAATTCTTTATGTTCAAAGAACTTTAAAATCTTGAACATTAGTTTTCACTATTGAAATTATATTTAAAGGAGAGGCACAAATAGTTGTTTTTTGACTTATTCATAAAAGTGCATTTACATCCATGTAGTTTGAGATTCTAATATTTATTCCATCTGTATGAAGATTGATTTCAATGTGCCTACAAAGTACTAAAAGATTCAAAAAGAAAATCTGTATACTATTGACTTAAATGACATCCTTTAAATATGTTGTATGACATTCAATAGCATTTACATATCAGTAATTGTATTTTATTATGAATGCATGATCTTGAGCCTTAAATATTATAATCTTTTTCTGCTCCTCAGAAATGTAATAACCTTACCGAGATGCCTTTGGGGGATCCCCTAATTAAATGTAATTTCAGGGTTCTGTTTTTTTCTATAAGTGTTCCTTCCCTTTCTCCTCCTGCTCTCCATCACGTGATGGGGACCAGAGAGGAATCAGTGTTAACTTGGTGACAATGTGGCAGTTGGTGCTTTATCCAAGCTTCTCAGTTTTCCATTTCTTGGGAATGCTTTAATGTGTAAACTTCTTCAGATACTTAAACTGAATCATAACTTGCTTATATAAATTCCATAAAGACAACAAACTGATTTTAGTTTGAAAATTATAGCTTTTAGTTACAAATGGTGTTACCAGTTACCTTCCAAAAGCTGTAAAAAGAATTATTTTTAACAAAGTCTTCTAATATATCTTACTTTTTAGGTACTATAGGAAATAATAAATACAATCTGTTAACCACAAAAAGCTTTGTTTGTTTTCTTTTTTCAATTTGGTAAGTCAGGCTGACAACTCTGTGTAGTAGAATTTTTTAAAATAAGCTTTACATTAAAGCTTATTCATTCATGCTGAAAATTCAAAACTAGAAACACTTGTGCTTAAATTATATCATTTAATTTTATAAAATGAATGTTAATAAGTTTACCAGAGACCCCTATACATTGACAAAATATTCAAAACACTCCTCTTATCAAAATTACAATTTTAATTTTACTAGATATATTTCATTATTGTTATAATTTGCTTTATGAAAGATAATACTGAAATTAAATTTATTGGTACACTACTATTTATCAATTTCTGCTTCAAAACTTTTTTCTGTTTCACTAATAAATATAATACATTTGAAATTATTTTAAAGGTAATGCTAATAGTTACTATTTATTGAGCAGACTATTATGTCCAGCATTGTGGTAAGTATTTATCATGCATGAAGCAGTAATCACCCTCAGTTTATACGTGAAAAAAATTAGGCCTAAAAAGGTTTTAAAAGCTTTTATATTGCACAGAACTTATAAGAGACAAGGCCAGGACTCCAAACCAGGGCCAGTTCCAGAGCTTTAGTGCCTCGATTGTCTTTCTCTCTCTATCCGTCTCCCTCTCTCTCTCTCTCTTCCTCTCCCCCTTTCCCCTCTCCCACTTGGTGGAGGAAATTTGAAAAGTGAACACAATCCCTGGAAAAAAGAGAAGGCACAAGAGATAAAACTATAGAAGTATTTTTTTCAACATTTATTGAATGCTAGGTACTAGAGGTAAACTCAGAGCCTATTCACATATAAAGGTAAATCTGAGACCAAAGAGCTTACTAGTGGGGGTAAACATAACCATGAAGCTGATTATAATATATGGTAATTTTTATACCATTGGTGTAAATTGTAATATGTCTACAGGAAGGAGTAATGGGTTCTCTCTTGGATATTAGAGGTGAAGAGAATAAAGTGGGACACTGTAGGAAAAGGAGGATTTTGTCAATTAGAGAAGTTGGCTTTATTCAACACAGAGGCACTTTTAAGGAGAAGAGTCCACCATGGAGAATCCTGGGCCTAGGATTCCAGCTTATAGTTCTTCAGGCTGAAAGATAAAGAGAGATGAATTAAGGAGAGAATAAAACTTCCGCTGCAGAGATTAGCTAGAAAATTTGAGCAGAATTACTCTGGATATCCTGAATCCCTTCCCAGACATAGTTTATTTTTCCCTTTTGTTTTTGAACTCTCTTTTCCCTTAACTGTTCCTTTCCGTTAACTCTGGGTCTGCACTCTCAGCCGTAACAGTCAGCAAAGAATTCCAGTGAATGACGGAGTCTTCACTGCACAGATGGGGATTTTCATCTTTACGTCGGGTGAATTAAAACTTTCAGAGTCAGATACTCACTCAGCAATTCATCTGTATGTAAACCTCTATCTTCATTGATTTAAAAATCACGTACTGGTGCCAAGGATTTTTTTTTCCTCAATCCTACTCCTAGGTTCTATTACCATCCTGGTGGCACAACATCCTTATATCCCTGGATTCTGGTGTAGGCTACTTATACAGAAGTCTACACCTTCAAATAATCCATAAATTCTGAGTCCTTATTCATACAAAATTTCATCACCATCTTCCCTATTTTCTCCCTCCCTTCCATCATTTCATAAAAATCCATTGAACACCTCCTATGTACTAGGCAAAGCAATCTGGAGATGAGCAAGATTGCCCTTATCCTTAAAAGGCCCTGTGTGGGGGCTAAAATATCATGTTGGTACTTTGTTTACTCCATTCCTATAATGGAGACCATCACTGGGGGCTAGTGGAAAGTCTTACTGATCTTCACAGAAAAGTGGGATCTTGAACTAAGTTTTCTAGTAAATGGTATTTTGTTGGGGGGCATGATGAAGATGAGGAATGATATCCCAAGTTGAAGTAACAGCAAATATGGAAGTATGAAAAACAGAGTCCATAAACTCCAAGTCTCTCTTCTTATATGTTCATGCAAAAAGCATTCAGAAAAGGGCAATAAATGGTAGAGTTGGATTCATATGAGGTGTGTTCATATGAGGAAAAGAGAGATGAAAACTCAAGAGTGTTAAAGGTTGAGATGACCCCAAAAGAACACTTAAAGTGGGCTCTCTCACATACCAACGAAAACCCATCATACATGTTGAATTGCCCACATTCACTATTAACCATTCTTTTTTCAATCATTATTGAGATATAATTCACATACCATAAAATTCCCCTTGTTACATGTACAATTGAATGTTTTTAGTATATTAACAGAGTCATGCAAGTATCACTTCTATGTATAGAACATTTTTATCAGGCTGGTGCAAAAGTAATTGCGGTTTTGGATCCTGAATTTTAAATCTTTATAACTAGGCTCAAACACATCTTTATT